GTATAATATATATATATATATATGAAATTTATGTTAACTTATAGCATCTTCCTACAGAAATGAGGGAAGGATGCGGAAGGATTTGATGATTTATTTTAAATATATTGTACTGTATATAAATTTTAAATTTTAAATAAATTTAATATATAAATAATTAAATATTTTTGTATTAATTGCGGATAAATTTATGTAGAAAATATATAAAAAATGATTTTCTATAAATATCATTATTTACTTTTATATTTTTTTATTCACTTTATATCTCAGTACCGCTCATCTTTCTTATCTTTTTTCACATCATCTTACTTTTGTCCTCCCTTCAGTCTATATCCTCGAGTAGGTTCTAACCCCTGTCCAACACCTCATTGGGATCTTTCTTCCTCTTCCTCATCCATTTACCTCTTACCTTACTTCAGCTAAGACCCTATAGTAGGCTCCACCACCCTCTCAATACCCTATGAGATCTCTTTCTGATCCTCTTTCTCGTATCTTCACTCTCTTCAGCCTAAATTCTCGAGTAGGTTCTACCCCTTTCTAAACACCCTATTGGGACTTTCCTTCCTCTTCTTCATCCCTATACTTTTCTCCTTTCTTCAGCCTAGATCCTAAAGTAGCCTGTATCTCCTCTCATTACCCTATCAGACCTTCTCTTCTCTTTCTGATCCTCTTTCTCATCCTCTCACTCTTCCTTTCTTCAGCCTAGACACTCGAGTAGGCTCTACTCCTAATAATAATAATAATAATATTAGGCTAATATATTTTCTATTGATATAATTTTATAATTTTTTAAAATATCTTAAAATATAAACATTTAAAAGTTATATATAAAAAGTAAAACCTGTCCAAAACGGAAACTCAATAAAACGGAAATCCGCCTAAACGGAAACCTGCCAAATCGGAAAAATTGTCCGTTTTACACAAGTTCGACTGTATATAACTTATTTTATTGCTTTAAAAAAAAAAAGAATCGAATTATAGTATATACACGAAGCGTACAGGAAACATATTGTTTACAAGGCATGTACTGTACTGTACCGAATTTCACAGTAAAGTTGACACGTAACTTTAGTAATAATACTATTATACATACACGGTATTATTTTCTGTAAAGGAAAAATCCGTATTCACGTTGGCTTAATTTTTGCTTGAAATCTTTTCAGGTGCTTCCTGCTTACGTCTCGTTCGGTTGGATGTACCTCATGCTATTTTGAATGGTGATTCGATTTGGTTAAACTGCTCATTTGATTTGGAAGCAGATGAATTATATTCAGTCAAGTGGTATAAAAACAATGTTGAATTTTATCGATATCTACCGAGTGACCAACCTCCCGCTCAAAAGTATGATTTATTAGGAGTGTATTTAGACGTACGTACATTGATCCTATCACAGGAATTAGTATGGAAATCGTATTATTCTTCTTTTCTAACAAAAAAAAAAATTCCTTCTTTAAAGAGGAAAATAATATATATATTAAAAAAAATTCTATTTTTCTCTGATGTAAAATTGTAAGCAAATAAGCTTATAAAAATCCCTTTAAGAATAACAAGAAAAAGTGGCAACTTCTCCCTCTTTTTTTTTGGAAAAACTTTGTACTAAATTATATATTTTTTTTAAATTTTTACTCGTAAAAAACATTAAAAATTTATCAATTTTATAAAGTTAAATCCGTAAAAAAAAT